TTATCTCTGGAGTCACCTGTCGTCTAAAGGCTACAAAGCCATTAGAAACTAGATGATTTTTCTTTACCTTATGTTATTTTTTTGCAAGCCAGTATGTTCATATATGGAGCAGTTACGAATTTTTTAAAATGAAAGTCTTTCGGAACAACCTAATATCATGTTGTGCAAAAATCGGGGTGCAACAGATAATATTGCCAAAAATTCCCAAAACGAAAAGAATACCAGCAGACACGTAAGCAATACTAAAGACCTAGAAATCATGCTATCCTTGAGATGGATTTTAAGGCGGTAGGTATATAAAACGAAATTTAGGGTAATCAAATTCTCGCGACTACCAAAACGACCTCGTCTTTCCAAATAAAGCACAATAACCTCATAATCGAACAGCACTTAATCACTTGCTCGAGAATGGACACGCAGCAATGGTGTGATGGTTATCGCACAAATTGCTTTGTGACGTAAGCAGCGCAAGGTAAACAGAGGTAGATGACATTGAACAGAACGTTTTTCTATTTAGATGTCAAAGAAACGAAAATAAACATCAAGCACAAAGATAGGTAAGCAGAGCTAACTTAGCAAGAAACACTAGACCATGGGGTAAACTTCTGAAATAAGTTTTGAAAGCGAAAAGGCAAACTTTACAGGCAGTTTTTACTCCATAAAAAATCGATAACGAAGTATGGTCCACAACTGATAAACGTCCACAGCACTCCAATATTTACCTTTACCTCACTTAAACCTACCAGAGTATGTATAAACTAATCTAACCTCCCAGCAATATTTCAAATACGACATATTCTAACCTAAAGCCTTGCTATATCCACCCGTATAGGTCCACAAGGAACCATGGTTACTGTATTCAGATAAAAAACGACTGGGTTGGATAACCAAATGACAGAACTCACGTTCCCAAAAGGCTAATCAACTGCGCAGTATTCAGCTGTTGTAGTTGTTGTAGTTGAACTTGCGTCAATTCTGAGCTATCTCCCTCTTGACCATCCAAATCTGCATGGTATCTGCCCATGTTGGCGGCTGTAAACAATTATTTACAGATGAACCGGTGAAAAAGCTTTTCTAGCGGCGTCAGTAGTAAGTACTTTGCAAAAAAAAATAATTCGCACTCCACATAAGC